ACACGACGACGAATTTCGTCATTGCTCATCGAGACACGAGCAATGCTTCGAAGGCATCGGTGGTCGAATACGGAAAGTCGATTAATATCCGCTCGGAGAGGCCAGGTCTCGCAGCCGTAAAGTAGAATACTGCGGACCGCGGCGATGTACACCCTTCCCTTAAGGGACAGTCGAATGTCAAGGCGGCGCCACAGGTGTCGCAGGTTAGCGAAAGCTACTCTAGCTTTCGCTATTCGTGATGTGATCTCTTCCCNCTCGACCATTTCCAGCTGGTCACCACAAAGAGTGAGTGCAGGCACAGGCTCCTGCCAGTCTTGAACCAGCACTTTGCACTTTGATGGTGCAAAGCACATACTATACCTGGATACCTCTATTACCAACTGGTGTAAAGCTTGTTAGACTACCTGTGCATTGTCACCCAACAAGGCGATGTCATCGGCATTCTAAGTCAAGAACTCTATTCCTTGGGCGGATTTCGACTCCCCCGTCTGCTAAACCGGACAGAACATCCTCTATGGCGATATGATACTCCATTCATCAACAAACACCCATAATACGGTCCTATCAACAGAATCGAAGGCCGCGCGAATGTCTAAGAACACGATGGTCTACGATAACTGTCGGAGCGAAATGCCCCTATACGACCAAGTGTCTCGAATGGCCTATGCTGAGAAAACCCTACTCACTGCCTTCTCGTGGTGGAGGTGCTTTCCCATCAAAGTGAGAGGACGAAAAGTCGACATCCAGGACTATAACCAGGTTGGTGAACCACTGGTAGTTCACTTGGAGGAGTTGACCAAAAACCCTGATTCGAAACCATGCATGAGAAGACGTACGAACCAAGGCTCGAGCAGCATACGCAGGATTAAAACACCTTTGGCGTAGACGAGATGTTTCACTGAATTTGAAAGGTCGTGTATATTGTGCTAGAGTTCGTTCAGTTCTGCTTTATGGTTGTGAGACCCTGAATTTGAGAGCAGAAGATATCCGTCGACTAGAAGTTCTCGGTTATCGGTTTTTACGCAGTTTAGCCCATGTTGGATGGGACGAACGGGTTAGTAACGTGGAGGTAATCCGTCGTGTGTTTGGGAGTCTGTCAGGTATAAACCTGTTAGCATACCGAATTCAGATTACTAGGCTTCACTGGCTAGGGCACGTTGCGTATGCCCAGCCATCGTCTGCCGCACCGCGCTTTATTCGCTGTCGCTATTCGGGGCTGCAGGGAACCACGTGGAGATCAACAGGTGACGTGGAGGCGAGGCATGAAGAAATGCACAGAGCCATTAGGTAGAGTAGGTGTCTCTCGCCTTCCAGGTTGGTCCGAAAGACCCCACAACTGGTTGGTTGGAGACATTGAAGGATATGGCAGCGAACCGGCAGCAGTGATGATGATGATGAAGTTATACCAAATGCAAAAAATGATTGACAGAGGTGACTGATAACAGTAGTAGTTGCCATGTCGATACACGGAAGTGCTAACGGAAATCATGATTATTCATAAATTGTTGCAAGTAAATATTTGTTATGTTATGTTATGTTTGATACTATTGGTCCCTTGAAATCCATATTTAACCTCTCAAATGGGACGGTGGTCTTGGTAAGGTTCCCGGTGGGTAGTTTGCCAAATTTCGATTTTAATTGTGAGCATACCGTTCATTATTCGATAGTGTTTTTTGCTTCTTGTACGGGGTGTTGGTGGCCAAGTAGTTAGGTCACCAACTTTTGACCCGGAGGTCGCAAGTTCAAACCGCTCCTCTCACCTCCCGTCTTCTCTATTTCTATATTTCTCAAGGCAGCCTTTGTATGGCCGCAGCCCCTTCGTGAAAGTTGACTGTACATTTGTATATGTTCAACAAATTCAAAAGGAAGTAAGAAGACAAACAAAAAGAATAAGGCAGATTTCGGGACCTTACAAGTGCAGGAGACGCACGACGCCAGGATGACATAAATAATTGTGAAGCTCCTTTAAGGACACGGTAATTAATGTGAATATCATATGTACGCGAGTGTCGGCAACTACATATCCTTTACCTGGACGATATGATAAGTCGAAGCTATAGCAAGATGGTTCAACTCTCCTTGCTCTGTATTTTTTCGTTTTTGATTTTCCCTCGCTGCTGCTTGTCATACATAAATGCGATTGACCTCCGATCAGTGATTATAAAAAAATGAACCAATTAAGTAATGCCACCATTTTCGGACTGCCTCGAGAATAGCACAGGCTTCGTTCTCAACTAAAGAGTGACTCTTTTCGGAAGATGTTTGTGTTCGTGAGAAAAACGCAACTGGTCTCCCGTTCTGCGATTGTATAGCGGCTATTGCTATATCTGAAGCATCGGTTTCCAGCACTAGAGGAGTGTGAGGATTGACGGTTGTCATTACAACTCTAGCTAGTTCATTTTCAGAAGATCATACACAGCTGTGACGCTTGTTGGTAGCGGGAATGTGTTGTTTACCACAGGGTTAATCTTGTCAGAGAAATGAGATATCCGCTGAGAGTAATACAAAAATAACCCAATAACCCGTTGCGTCGATTTTTAATCTCAAGGAGGCGGCAGCTCCAACAGGGGTCTTGAACGATCCGGGTCGGATTTGATGGACCTATGAAAAACTTCGTACCCAGTATCTTGATTTTGTCTGTGTTTACGATGCTTTTAGCGTTTTTTATTATTTCACACATGCCTGACGCCAGACTGTGTGCCAAACAAATCATGGTACAATCATCTTTTGATTTGCATTTTGGCTGAATAATGCCAGGTTTTCCAGGCCAAGGCAGGTGAGTTTTCTTGAGAAATCCGCAACCAAAGCCTTCGGCTAGCCAAAGCCTGACCCACGAGACGGCGGCGGTCTGTGAAAACCGCAATCCATTGGGAGCCGGTGTCCAGTTCATCGGATCATACACCCTTTGGGGGTCAAACGTCCAAGGCGCCCAATATACCTTGAATGCTTTTCGCGTCATTAAAGCTGAAGGAGTATTTACGAGCAACCTCGTAGAAATGATCCAAGTTTCTCCGATGCTCTTGCTCAAAGGGACCACATACCGTCAGTATCTAAATGGGTAAAAGTCGTTTCCAGTTTCTCGTTCCTAATGATTTGATTGATAACTTTTTGGAAAGAAGAAACACCGTTCGTGATGTCGAAGGGAATCCGATAGAACTGATACAAGTCGCTACCCGCTTCAAATGCCGTATATATTTGATCTACGTCCCTGATGGTACGAGCTCTTCAAGTCCAGTTTACTGAATGTCGTATACCGTGAGATTTTCTCTACCATTTCATCCATCTTGGGTAGGCGGTAGACATCCAGGAGCGTGAAGCGCTTAACAGTCTGGTTGTAGTCAACTAGCATTCTGCGTTTTTGACGTTCGTTGGTGGCAAAAAGCACTTGGGTATTCCAAGGAGAATGCAAAGTTTCTGTGATGCTATCCCTCAGCAATTTTTGTACTTCCGTTTTGATGTACAGCTCGTTAGAGGGTGAATGCATCCGAGACTTGGTTGCAATTGGAGCGCAATCAGGTGTAAGATTGTTAAATACCAAAGGTGACTCGATATTCACATCCGCTATACTGCAGACCGAAAATGAATCTTTGGCTCCATTGAACGGAATTTCTATTTTTGAGTGTAGTCGGAAGAAATCGCGTCCAAGGACGACATCTGAACAGAGGTTATCTAACACTGAGAGCTTGATATTTAAATAATAATAGTTCCTATACAGTGAATTAACAAAGCAATGTCCGTGAGTGAAACTGGTTAGGTTAATCGAAGCCGTGGATATAGCACTACGAGAGTTTTCGACCTTACACTTATGTTTCCGTGCCACAGAGTTCAATATGTAACTAGCAGAGCTGTCAGTGTCAATGGGAGCCTGAAGAGATATTCCGTTTACAGAGAGCCGGATAACTGCGTTGTACAGGCATAATGGAGCTGCAGCGAAAGTGATGGAGGATAGAGAGGTACAGATGATGAATTTGAGTTTTGCTTGGATCGACAAACCTTTTTCAACAAGACTTGCAGGTTACATCTTTAGCTGGGTATTAGAAACGAGGATGTTTGGAATATCCGCAGAAGAAACAGCCAATGTTGCTTATAATGGCCATGCTTTCTTCCAGTGAATTGGGTTTGCGGGGCACCATGTTCGATGTAGTCTCGTTTTGTAACTTGGGGTCAACGACTGCAGCTGTGTAAGCGCAATCGACTATTTGAAAGACACTGGACTGTTGATATGCTATCTCCAAGGTTCTAGCCTGTTCGTATGCTGTTTCCAGGTCAATTGTCCTATTTTCCAAGAGGCATTGGCGGATACCACTGGACTGCATTCCACTGATAAAAGCATCTCGTATGGCGTTCTTTTGGTTTTGTTCGGCCGTGACGGCTATGAAGTTACAGTTTTTTGCCATTGATTTTAGCTTCTGCATAAACTGATCAAGACTCTGACCTGCCTCCTGTTTACTGGTAGTGTCGAGCAAAAACCTCGTTCTTCGGTTTCACGTAAAGCTTCTCTAAATCGTCATAGTGAATTGAAACGTTTCACTCTCGACAATATACTCGTAAACGGTGGAAGAAACGCATCCAATAAAGTGCTCCTGCTTTTTGTCCTCTGATTTCCCCGCTCTAGCGATAATCAAGGTGAATGTGCGAAGCCAGTAATTCCTGATTTTCGCGGCTAAGGGCCAATTAGGATCCGCATCGAAGCGTTCTGGTCGATAAGGCCGATCCATTGGTTAGACGAATAAATTGGTATATTCTGATTAAGGTACGGTGTAGTATAAAGGCCACCAACTCTACCTGGTATCCATGTCATTTTCCCCAACGTGCAGCAGCAACTACGAACAAAGTGCTGTATGAAAGACTATGTACTGTAGGTTCTCTGGACTATCCTGTCCATTCCTATTCGATGTTTGTTAAGCAATGATTTGTAGTAGGAGAATTTTTGTTTTATGAAGATTGCTCTGTTTTTATCAACCTTTACCCCGACTCAGTTGATCCTTTTCGTTCTAGCCATGACTACTTTAGCCGGTTTAAAAAGTCATGATTCTATATTGTCCAAATTGGACACATTCAAACGGCGCAAAAAGGAACGCATGGAAGTGGAGGAATTGACAAAGGAAAGTGACCAAGCAATTAAAATTTCGACCAATCCGTCAATTACGAATGATCCAAAAGATTACGAATTGCAAGAAGGTGAAGAACGTTCGTTTTTGGAGAAATCCTCTCAAGTAGGTACTCAACTGTTACGTAATCTCCCTCTTTCTTGTTTCTTCAAGCATTCACTAGCCGTACAGGAATTGTCGGAAAAACTGCTGTCCTGGATCAACAATGAGTTAGCCGATGAACGTATCCTGGTCCGAGATTTGCAAGAAGATTTGTACGATGGGCAAATCCTGCAAAAGTTGGTTGAGAAGTTGGCGAATGTCAAACTCGATCATCCGGAAGTGACACAATCCGAAATCGGGCAAATTCAACGACTAAAAGTAAACTATGAACTGTCCTTTTCAATAACCGGCCTCTTCTTGTTTTTCAGGAGGTATTGTTCACCATTAACGAATTTCTCCGTGTCCCAGCCTCCTGGGTCGCACAACGATGGTCTGCTGAACGCATTCATCAGAAGGATTTAGTCGCCACCTTGCGATTGCTTGTCGCATTAGCTCGACAATTCAAATCGGAATTGCATTTTCCACCGGGCATTTTCCTCACCGTTATTATTGCGAGGAAATTGAACGGTAAATTGGAATATCGTTATGAACGGGAGTATATTACTGAGGTGACTGGACCCGAAGCCGGTAAGTTTGCTTCGTTGTTAGAAATTCGGTTGTTTCAAGCCTGTGTGGTCTATTCTCAATGGGATTATTGCAGCGATCGTAAGCAATTCTTTATCGTTCGATTGGGTAATTGGAGCGCCAACGGATTGAGATTTTCACCCACCGCCCCGCTGGCTTATGTTATCAGGCTTTGGCTCGCCGAATTCTTCGGTTGTGAATTCCCCAGGAAAATTCACTTGCTTGCTTGACGAGCACCCGGAGGAATAGTTCTGTGACCGTCCAACAAAGCCGCAAATGTCGACTAAAGCCGTGCTTTGTGTTTTGATCCTGTACCGGTATCCATTGTTAATTTGATATACATTTGTATAGCTTCTTTGATTAGTTTCATAGGTTCAGTGAGTCAGCGAAGTGATCATCAACGGGAGAGAAAGAACTCTTCGAAGACTGATTAGCATCTGTCCGTTAGATCCTACTGTGGTTGTCCGCTTCCGACAAATTTGATGCGTCTGTTGACTAGATGTTGTCAGTGTGGCTCGTAACAGCATGGCGGGATAGTCCTACTCACTGCCTTCTCATGGGGAGAGTGTCTTCACTGAAGTAAAAAGAGGACTCAATAAACAAGATAGTAGGTTTTTTACTATACCACGGAAATCAGGTCGTCTAGTTTAGCTGGGAAACCCTGATTGAAAAACTTCCCGAAGAGACGCACAAACTGTCTTCTGATCTGGGTGTTACGATGACCACTCAGCTGGTGAGGAGATTGAACGGGACATTCACATTCGACAAAAAAGCAGCACTTCAAACCATCGGATGATGTAGACTAAGACAGTTACGTGTCGAAACTAGGTTTATGGGCTAGCATGCTCCCCTGCTGTTCGAAGTATCTATCATTGCATACTGATTGTCTGCTCCTATCTCCGCTTCCATCCGTCGTTGTTAAGTGCTTTGCAAAATGCTCTCACATGATTTATGACCAATAAAATCCTTTTCCAAATCTCTTCGCACCGCGTCCCACTTGGCCTCATGTTTCACCATTCCACACGCATACCGTTTGTCTGTTTGTCTTCCATTTTGTCGGTATTTGGCATCTCGCGACTCACTCGAGTCGCGCACGATCGAAGCGTTCACATGCCACCTTACGGTGTCAGCGGATTACGTGCCAAACGCATACTCGTACAATGTCTACAACGCATAAGCCAAGCACAAAAAAGGACACTTGTCTGGCAACAATTTTTTTCCGCTTTTCTACATGCGCTTCCCCCCCCCCCGGGAACATCGGTTCGCCTTTTCGCTTTTTCTCGGACGGGTACTACTTGGCTCGAGGTATTGTATTTTATTGTATTGTATAATAGCTTCTGTAGCCATAAAGCCTGCATTTCAGTTAAAAATGTGAAGGTTGGAGCAAGGGAGGAAAATAAAATAAAAAAGAGCTAAATCCCGAAATTGCTGACAAAGTCTGTGAAAACCTGTTCTTTGTTAGCGAGAATGTGTGCTAATGAGGGTACTGTAGAGTTACGTTATATGTTTATTCCAGAGGGAACACAACGGTATTGAGTTCTAGTTGAGGGATGGGAACAACAGGACGTTAAATCTGTGCGTGTGTGTAGTCGATAATAATCTTAATAATCTTAATCTTTTCACATGCATTCAAATGATGTTCGCACAGGTTAGTTACCAACTCCTCTGGCGGGATTGAAGAGACACGGCTAATGATAGTCAGTCTATGTCGAAGCAGTTTAAAATCTGTCTTTAGGAGGTTGGAGAAAAAATAACAGGTGAGTAATAAAATAAAACGGGGAAAACACACTGGTACATAAATTTGAAAATAGTCGATTGCTTAATACGAAACTGATGAAGTTTACGGACATGAAAAAAAGTCGACGATGCCTACTGACGATGTGTTGAATGTTAGAGGTTCGATAAAGATTAGTATCAATAAAAAACCAAGATATTTAATACAGTTGACTCTGGATACTGGTCCAGAGCCAATCGATACCCGTTCAGATGGAAAAGAATAGCTTGATAATGTAAAGAGACATTCAAAACAATTGGAAGGATTAAGAGATAGGCCATATGTGGCAGAAAATTGTGATAGACGAGATAGCCTGACATAAAACCACATGGTCAGTGTATTTGAAAGGAGAAGTAGGGGCGCTAGCAGACAAGTCGCTAATATACGTAGAAAGTAGGTATGGGTAAGGAACTGCACCTTGAAGTAGCCTAGAATTGTTCAACAATGTTTTGGATTTCTTCCGACCAAACCTAGTACATTGAGTTCTACCGGAGAAGTAATTGGCAAGCCAAGCTAATAGCTGTCCAGGACAACAAAGGTCTCTAGTTGACGAAGAAGGGAACGAGGAATAGAATCAAGAAAAGATGAGTTTGCCGTTTTGGTCCGCTCGATTTTCCCATTTATTATTATTATTATTGCCCTTTGGAGTGCATAAATAGTACTGTAATTAAGCTCTTTTACTGTATCATCCGTCACACCCACACACGTCCCAACCGTGAACAGAACAGCGATTAAAAATTTACCTTCATGTTCTCGTTCAGTCGTATCGAAATGTCCGCCTGCCGATTACATCGGCCCAAAAGTTCTCAGATGGTTCTTCCAAGGAACTTCGGACTTTGTTCAATCTTTTGTGAGTACCTCACTTTGTTGGTAGCACTTCTCGGTTCGAATTGAGGTATACGAACGATAGTGTTGAAAAAACCACCCTGTTCTCATAACCGTCNNNTCATTTTGGATTAGTCCATCAAGCGAGATTCCACAAATCTTGCCATGCCGAGCTTCTGTCGTGTCTGTTATTTCTCGAGTTTGAGAGCTGGTCTATTAAGCTTGGAAAACATTTGTTGCACACCCCAGCCGAAGGTAATCTTATGCTACTCACACGTTGTCACCAACGCCTTGTGTTTTGTTTTTTTCGTTCGTCGTGGCTAAGGCAAGCTAAATTCATCACACATGTACTGTTTATTTTCCTAATTGACACGCAATTCACACGTCAGTGCGCTCATCGCCAGGTCACTAACCTCGTCTGAGGTGTCTCGCAATTTGCTTCATCCCCTTTACTTCCCCATTCTGCGCATACATTTGCCCATTTCCCTCTCCCCTCTCTCTGTCTTTGTGTCACAGCTGGACATCCACTTGATGTACTGTCCGAGCACCATATGGTCGTGCAAACTTTGAAGTTGTTTGTCAATTCCCAGCTAAATCAATTGCAGCTCGAGGTGTCCGATATGGCCACGGGAGTGAGTCCCGCGTGTTTGTCTGTCTCTGTTTTTTTATAATAACTATTATTGGCCCTTGCTCGCTGGATGGCATGCACAGTCGAACATTCTGTGCACATGGCTAAGAAACGTGTAGAATTTACCGGGGACAGCGGGGGAGCTCCATTTTCATAGTTCATTTCACCCAATCGTACACTTCCTCCGTACAATCGCAAATCCGATCCATTTAACGGTTTTCTATGGGGTTCTAATCGTGCCATTTTGCACATCCGAAATTTGAAGCAGCCCCCCCTTATCCATTTCATGAATACAGAAAGAAGACCAATGTCGCTAGATGTGAACGTTTCGTTTGATCGCTCACTTAAAACAAACAGACACATGGTTACCCGGAAAAGTTTATAGATATTCACAGTAGATCATTCCCCAAAGGTAACCCAGTCCCAAGCGTTAGCAAATGGCTATCTACTTGAAACTTGCGTTCAAAGGTGACCACATTTGTAATAATTTGCACCATAAGTTGAGCTCAGCTCCGGGCCGTGCATTCCCAGCTGCTCAACTCAGACTCAATGCCTCTGCTCGTGAACTAGATCTGGACAAACGTAAACATGGCTGGCAAGCCGGTTCCGTCTCACATACTGTATGCCAGTTCACCTACAGTTGCAGTGACGCATACATACATCAGCTCTCGCAACGGATGACCGAACATATTCCAAAGCGGTTGGTGAAATCGATGACGCAGCCGATAACTGATGCTCCAGGGCCGTCTGTTCTAAAATATCTCATGACGGCAAGGCACACATTTGACCTTAATTTGTCTTTCAAATCACTGTTAGGTAATCGAAATGTGTGCAATCAGTGAAGCATTGTTTATTTAGTTACATCGACCGACCTTGTGCGCACGCGCAATTTTGATACAATTAATCTACTCACCATGGACTTGACCTTATAGTTTATTTTTTAGTAATCTTGGTATTCTTGTACGCGTTCATTCACCGTAGTTGAACATCTAAAATGTGAATAGGCCAAATGACTGATTGTCCTAATCTACACTAGTCGGTAGTTTAAACTGCTGTTTTTTTTTGAATAATTGGGCAACTGACCATCACGGAGCTAAATATGTTGGCGCTCATACAAAAGGCTCGGTTGGCATTTACCAAATTCAGACATTTGTGGCACCGTCGCGACATTCGGCTGTCTGTAAAGGGTCGACTGTATGCTGCAGTGGTTCGGACACTTCTGCTTTACGGTGCAGAGACTTGGCCACTACGGGAACAGGATAAAAGTAGATTGTCGGTGTTTGAACACCGCTGTCTACGTAGCATTGCACGAATCTGATGGGGTAACCGGATGAGCAATGCTGAGGTTAGGTGTCGAGTTTTAGGTAGTCACGATTGTCCACTGGAGAAAGTGATCGACCTGCATAGATTACGTTGTTTGGGGCATGTGTTACGCATGTCATCACATAGGTTGCCGCGGTGAGCGATGTTTGCCGAGGCTGGTAGCGGTTGGAAAAGGGTCAAACGAAGACCTGGCGAGAGGGTATGAAAACCCTAACCAGGAGACTAGATTACATAGGTCCCGTTAGGCTCCCTAGCTGGGGACCTCGGGATGATCGTAACCGTTGGTTAGAGACACTGAGTGATATGGCTGGGTGTCGCAAACAGTGGGGCTCATGCATCTAGTCATTATTCTTGTAACTTTGGTTCATATAAATTCGTTATTTTTCGCTTGAATTTGCTGTCAACATTCTAATCTTCATTCTGTTGTTTTATCCAAGTGGGGCACCAAAAGATAGCAACCGAAACCGGCGCACGAAAGTGTATGTTTAATGGTTGTAAAAACTGAACTGATGTATGGAAAGAAAATTCAGATGTTCGTTCGATCTGAGTTCACTTATGTCAAACAGTTCACGTAGTTGTAGTAATAGTAGTAGTGTGCTGTTGTGCTTCTCTAGGTCTGATCACTCACTCGTGTGGTGATTTTGCCGAAGTGAATCATGCATAAGCACGGTCGTTATGATGAGATCTGGTGACTGACCTGATCTGGCGTGACTGTTGAGAGTTTGAGAATAGGTCAGTATGAATTGTGATCAGTGTTTTTATGATGAGGGTGGTCAATAAAGGGTTACGCTATCTTTGCCGAATGGATGTGTGCAACAGTCAGCACCGAAAGTCACCCGATCAGTTGCTCAATTTTTAACGCTCACTCTGCCGCACTCCCGTCCCTCCGACCTTCCTAAATGTTTCATCTGCATTGCAGTTCTCTGACGGCGTTCTACTCATTCTGCTAACCGGGCTCTTGAATGGCTATTTCGTCCCATTCTATGCATATCACCCTACTCCGACCACGGAGGCGATGCGTATCCACAATGTGAAACTCGCTTTCGATCTGATGCAAGCGTCCGGTCTGGCGGAACCACCCGCGCAACCGGAGGAGATTGTGGCTGCCGATCCAAAAGCGATTCTCCGTGTACTGTATAACATCTATTCGCATCATCAACGTATGGAAGATGAACGACGTTATGAGATTCAGAATATACGTGAACAGGACGAGCCGGAGGAAACCACGGCGGTCCGTACACAGTCCAATGCAGATCTGTTGTGATGTTGATCCCCATGTATGTTCCCTGGATCCCGTTCTGTGATCTGCTCAGCTGTTCTGCTCTCTCCCTCCCCTTCCGACACACACACAGACCTGATTACATATGGAAATGGTATTTTTTATCGCTTATTCACTGCATCCCGTTCCTCACTCAATGCCCTACTACTACTACTACTCTTCATTTACCCTAGTAATCTTTCTTCACTCCGTGAAATCTGTACATTTCCCGTTGGCCTAGACTCTTTTCTGATTGACTGCTACCCATGCACGTAAACACACACACACATTGTCACTGATTGATTTATTTTAACAAACAATTTTTATTTTCTTTAAACGGTTTCGTGGGTCACAGACCACCCAATCACTTTCAGCGTAAGCACATATGTAATCACGCTTAGCTTTTGTTGTTCGTTTGCCACTCTCCACCTTCAAATTAACGCAACATTCCACAAATCACAGATCTAGTTGTTGTTGATGATGAGGTTTTGGTGTCCCACTCACTGTTGATGGTGGTGGTGTTTATGGTTCCCAATACTTTCTCCCTCTGTCTGTCGCGCCTCACTTGTGTGTGTGTATATGCGCGCGCGCACACACACCCATGTTTCGGTGTTTTGAAGTGCCGACGGTAACTCCTACACGTTCAGTTTGATATTTTCCTTTAGCAACCGAAACGCACCCGTGACCATCTCCACCATCAATGTCCGATATTTTCGCTTCTTATATACCTGCTTTTCTCATATCTGATTGGGCCAAATCTGGCACCCCTGCCTTAGACCCCCCACCTGCACTCTGCCTTGTATGTTGTTTGGTTGTTTCTCACATAACCATCATGCTGTTCTGATGATTTTCCCCCTTTTTAGCCTACCGAGCAACCGCCTTGTTTGTCTGAGCTAGCGCCTATCACAATTGTACTTTTTTCTGGATAATCATGTCGATATATTTATTTATTTATTTATTTTACACAAACTTTGTTATCCCCCCGGCTCCGCAGAATATCCTCATCATACATGAAGTGACCGAATAGGGGTTCTGTGCGAGTCGATGTGAGTTTCACTATGATTGACCGTGAGGAATTGTTTTCGAAACAAGCGGGGCTACTTTGGCCCCGATGCGCAAACTTGACCAGTTGTTTAAATCGTTATCGCTGGTGCACTCTAGCACAGGTTTGAGCACCGCCACTACCCAGAGGAATTGACTAGTATACAGTTTTGTTTTACTGTTCACGTCGGTTCAAAATGTGCGTGTTATAAAGCGGAATTCAAATTCTGACTCGCTGAATTTCATGAACGACCGAAGTGACATGCAATGAATCGCTACTTGCATCTCCCCCGACACCTGTCAAATTTTCGTAGTTAGTTCAACCAGGAGAATTTTTTCATCACCGTAGCGCCTTAGAACTTGGCAATTGTGCTGTTCCGTCTAGTACACTTTCAGATGAGTTTCCATTTCGAATTGGGACAGATTGTGTCTGGTGACATGATGATGATGATGCCCAGCTTCAGTCGTCGATTAAGCGATCGTGGTCATTTTTCCGGACTCGTCTTGTCAGCACATGTGCTGGCTCTCAAGTGTCAGTCGGTCAGTTGAGGTCAGTGGGATCATTCAATCGCTTCCTTTGCTTTAACTGCCGGGTCAGTGATGGGAGAGCATGGTTATTCGGGTTGATGAACCACACATGTGTTGTTCCTTATTCAGTGCACCCCACGACTGTTCGGGTTAGGACGACCAACGGGAAATGTTCCACCAGTGAAGGGTGCCACATGTTCACGGGCGACTTGTTAGACATTAAGCCAACAACGAATCGCTTCATCGGGACGATGATGAAAATTTGTATGGCTCGTTGTCTCCCTACCTTGGTGGACAAATTACATACGATTGCCTGGGGGTTTCTTAGTGGGTAGTCGAAAAATACACATAAAGCACAAATCATCTATAACGCAAAAGCAGGCTCTCGTCAGTCCATCGCAAACCGTCTTGATTTGCATGTCACATAATGGGCATATGGATCACTGATTCGTTCATCATCCTCCGTTCTTTGTGTTGCTTTTTCCAGAAGAGTTTCATCGATCGAGTCCACGTGGTATGTGATCCACTGTGTATCTGAATTTGACATCCAAGATGGTGAGAAGCGGGGGGGGGGGGCTAGATATGAGTTTGATCTGTCTGTTTTGTGTTCTGAACACAAAAAGTATATTTCCAATTAGGTTGAAATGAGAACCCCAAGATGACGACGGTTGCATAACTTTGACCTTGAGGTTCTCTACGGAGGGTCAATCTAGCACCTAAACGTTAGAGCATTTTAACTCTTCGGTCCAAAACTAACCAATCGCCTTTGGAACGTGACATATCGCACAATTATGTATACGAATCAATTGTCCGGATAGACCATTTGTAATGTGAACGTACTCCGGGTTCTCACAGGGCAGCGGAGTTCAAGGAAATGCACGACAGGATGTCCCTCTCAACCGGAGACGATACGACGCTTTGCGGGTGACGATCGACGGTGGCAGGGATGCGGCGGGACACGGGTTAGCGAGGAAACACTAGCAAACAGGTCTTACGTGGGTCGGGGTTGAAGTTAAACCTGTTAGGCAAAGCAAACAAAACGCCATGAACCAAAGCAGTCCAGCAAGATACAAGCACTGATGATGAACTGCTACTGGTGCGGTTGCCAAGCGTTACGTCATCATTATACATTGTAAGAAAAACAGTGGCGAACAAGCTCATTTGCGATGACTCATCTACAGGCGTTTGATGTGTGTGTCTGTGTGTGTTTGGGAGAGAGAGAAATCATGACAATGTGAAGAAACAATTTATTTGACCGAATGTTATTCCCGCTTTGGTCATCATACATTGGTTTGGGTCATTAGGGGCTGTACTGTATAGTGTTGGTCACGAGAGAATAAGTGTTCTGACAAATTATTTTTTTTTCCTCAGAGGGTGAATAGATCGAGCAATCAATTTTGCAGAACAACTTTACAGACTCAATCGTTCAAACAGTTTCAGCGTGTTCGCTAATTAAAGATTTAGCTCTGATTCTTTGATAAGAGCTGATTGATCTAACTACCGTTACTTAATTGAAGCCCAGGTGATCACATCTGTTCTTGGAAAAATCTACCATGGATACGTTTCTCCCACCCATATCGTGTGACTCGTATCAAAGATCCAAAATACAACACGATAAGTCAAAAATGTGCAAATAAAACATGTAATCTCNAATCTCTGCATTAAGCTGAGACACCCGCATCGGAGCGGATAATTGATGCTATGGGATGGATCGCGCAGTCGGAAGAAAGACCGCGTGTACAGCACAGGCAACCATACTGCCTGTTTGAGATTTTCGTATACGATCCGGCTTAGATTGATGGATATGTGCTGCTAACAGTGTCCGACAGTAGTGAACCGCTTAAGCAAGGTTTCTCCGATCGTCAAGCTCCCGGTTTTATCCAACGGATATTGGGACAACTGCGATTTTCGCTCCGCGGTAACCTGTTCGAACTGTCGGCAATTGCGGCCAGGGAGCGATTTGTCAGTCAAACGTGTGCTGTATATGTTGTTGCCTGATGTTCTCTGATCAAAGTATCAAAATCCCGGTGAAAGAACTGATAAAGGTGGGCGAACGGGACGGGTTGGTTGGTTGGTTGGAGTTGGAATTGAAAACGCACTCTCTCTTTTTGTTCCAAACTGCACCAGCACTAATGAGTCAAAGAGATTGGATACCGCAAAACACGTCCATTCACTTCGCTCGCCACGGGTGTCCTGACAACGAACATCAGAAGATACACATGGAACAAGGAATCGGGTTGGACAAATGGACTTACTTGATTGTCATATTGCGTCCGACTGTGAAGCCCCCAATGTCTACATTTGCATTTTGCAGCATGTTGCCGATTCATTTCGCACAGCAGGTGTGCTGGGAGGACAAAAATAAACCGAAATCGGATTATTTTTCGGAGTATTTGTCGCGGGTGTAAAGTAAATTTAAGATTTTCAGATTGTAGATAGATCTTGTCTCGCGTCTACTAACTGACTGATATGCGTGCAATCCGGTTGATCATATTCGGTGGACCAAAATTAGCTTGGATACCTCTCAAATTCAGCTACCCGAATTTCCTCCGTCATCCTCATCATCACTGCTTACAGATTTCTTCTCCGTATGCTCACGTTTGACTGAGTCATTGGTTTCGAATTCGCCCGCTCAACGGGTGCAGTCCGGGTGATCAGGTTCGACAATCATGAACGGGTCCCGAATTACCGGAGGTAGTCGATATCGATCCTATGTCCCCCTAAGAAAACGTGTTTCGTGACGGCTTGGGGCAAGTTGAACAACCGGTCGCATCGACTCGAGGGATAACATAGATTTCATGGTGAAATACGAGCGTCCTGAACCGCGTACTCCGCTTTCAGTTGCCATAACTAACAACGAGATTAATAATAAAAACATTAAAGTTATTCTATTTCCTGTATCCTTATTCCGAGTAATATCATCCAACGATAATCTAGTGTTAAACTGTAAAAACAGATGTTTCTCTTTGCTCTGAGAGTGAAACTACCCAGTGCTTACCTTCAAATGTTGCAACGACCGGGCAGTTGATGGGGATGTGTCAATTTTCTCCTTTTCATTGTTTTACCTACCCATATAGATTGCATAATTTTGGAAACACTTTTCAAGAAAGGGGAATCGACCAATCAGTGGACTGCTGCGTGATACAAAGTGATAGTGAAATTGTGGGCGATTGTGGTCACTTTTCGGGTACAATCCGCGGGGGTAGGAGCAATAATTGACTGATTTGTACCGCTTGATCACTATGCTTGCTTACCCTTGTGGGGCTGATAGAAACGATCAGTCTTTTGATTTTGGTCTTTTTCAATTTTACTTCCTTCTATCGAATATTTTTGGGAAAGGGGAAGCGAACAACTAAAGGACTGTTCAACTTGTTGTTTGGCAGATTTGAAGTTTTTATATCGATTGTTAAAAAGTTGAGTAGCCTCGGTGGGATTCG